ACGATTTTTTTTATTATATTTTATATAAATAAATACCCTAATTAATATATAGAGTAGCATTTTGAAAAGAATGATAAAAAATAAATAAAACATAATGCATATTATATTGTATATAAGTATATATCTTTTTTCTTTGGTACACCATAAGTACGTATCTTATTTAATGTAAAAAATAGCATTATACATATGGATAAATATAAATTATTTATTGTTAGATATGTAGATCTTTTAATACATAAAGTAGCATTTTAATTTTTAATATAAATTTTATTAATTATTAATTTAATAATTAAATAATTTGTATTTTATATTTGTATTATTATTATTATTATTTTTATCTTCTTTAATTATTTTTAATCCTTATTTAATTGAATTCATACATTAAATATTTAAATAGCATTATATATATGAATAAATATAAATTATTTATTGTTAGATATATAGATCTTTTTGCAGATAAAGTAGTATTTTAACTTTTAATATATATTTTGTTAATTATTAATTTAATAATTAAATAATTTGTATTTTATATTTGTATTATTTTTTTTTATTTTTTTAATTATTTTTAATTCTTATTCGATTGAATTCATCATTTTTAAAAATTGAAGTTATAATTTTCGTACATTCAATGGGTCCCACAACTGTCCTCCTACCGCTCACACACGTCTTCCCCTTTTCATGCTTCCCTCTTGCAGAAAAGCTCTTGCAGAAAAGCTTGACCTATCTGTGGAACTGGAAACTCTCCTTCAAAATTGAATTTCTGATAGAATACGCTAAACCCTGCAATTGTTCCCCTTTTTTGCCTTGCCTTGGATTGTGGATTGAGGAAAAGTTTAACATTTGAATGAAATTTCTCCGGCGAAATGGAATCCACGCTAAGCCCTGTCCCCATCCATTCCAATCCCTATCCCCTCTTCCACCATAGAGCATATTGATAGCTGCCAACTAGAAATGGAAATTAGAAAGAAAGAACAAGAGAATTGGGAAGAGATCAGAAGAGAAACAGAGAGGAGGGAGAAGGAAGAACATGAAACTGAGAGAAAGAAGAAGCCAGCTAAACTCCTATAAAATGGACTGTATCCACCTTCTCACCGCAACTCACAAAAGTAAACATGCCAAAGCTAACATTATCAACACAGTAGAAACAATTTCTGAAATGAAGAGTCTCTCATTCTTCACTTCTAAGGCTCCATACTCGAAACCATGCCTCCTCCTTCCCAGCTTCGCGGATAAAAATAGTGACATGGTCCGGTCAGCATTGAGTTTCTTTGAACCACACTCGAGAACTCTCTAACAAATTTAATCAAATAATGGACTTATTTGATTAAATTTCTTAGAGAGTTCTCGAGTGTGGTTCAAAGAAACTCAATGCTGACCGGACCATGTCACTATTTTTATCCGCGAAGCTGGGAAGGAGGAGGCATGGTTTTGAGTTTGGAGCCTTAGAAGTGAAGAATCATTTGGAGAGACTTTCTTTTCAGAAATTGTTTCTACTGTGTTGATAATGTTAGTTTCCGTTTCATGCTTTCCTTATCATAAGCTCTGGCATGTTTACTATTGTTATTTATTAACATGTTCTGTGATAATAGCTTCTCCCCACAGACCTCTAGTGAAAAGCGCTTTTGTCCTTGGGTCTGCCACTTCCATGTAAGCAAGGTAATGCAGTCTGCAAATTTGCTTCTGTTCTCGGTTGATAACATTTTCATTTTCTGCTAAAAGATAACGTCCTTCCAGGAAATTGCCAAGAGGTGATGGCTTAAGGTGCAGTCTATTATTGACTCACTTCAGACAAGGTGCAATGCTGCGAAACAAGATTTCAAAATCAAGTTACCTAAGATAGAAATCACAAGCAAGTAAGTTTCTTCTTTATCCGGCACCCTTAGTTGTTGCAACGCAGAATTTGTACCTGTTCTTTTGTTTCACCAATTAGCATACCAATTTTTAACTCTTTGTAAATTTCATCTTTTGCTAAATCAATCATCTTTCCATTCTCATTTTGTCTTCATGTTGATCTGATATTGGTAGAACTTCAATTTAGGAGTCCTTTTACATTCAACAGTTGCAAATTTATGATTTTAGTGAAATGGTTTGCATTGGACTTATTCATTCCACTTGAAACTTGGTATATGCAATTGATGTGAATGATACATTAAATTAAACATTTGATTTAATGAACACAATCTTTATTAAAAAGATATAAAGTGGTATAAGGATTACAAATTTGTAAAGTATTGTAAGTTGAACCTTTTTGTGCATATAGAACTAAAAGTTTTATATAAAATCTTTATGTTAAATTTTGTTCTTACTTAATCCTAAGGTTTTTAAAATGATTTTCCTCCATGATTCTAACACTCACAATGAACCTCAGCCAGTCTTATCAATGAGAATCAAATGATTTGCTAATAGCATACTCGAGGGACATCCACCAAAATATTCATGATAGCTGTATTAGTAGGTCTTGTACTTTTTTTTTTTTGCACAGCAAATATAGTTTATTATATAGAGTACAAGGGGTACTCCTGTCCATGCTATAAAAATAGGTACAAATTGAGCATCTACTGACTCTGTTTAATAACCAACAAGAGTCAATAAGTTGCTCAATGCTACCTGTCCATCAACCTACAGAGTATCAGTCCATCCCACCTATCATATTGACCGTTTCGGCCAAGTATGGTTTAGGTCCCTATTCCTACTTCCTACCACAGTTAACTTTGAGGCATGTCATTGGATTGTATAACCAATCATAAAGGCTAAACAAGCAGCTAGATTTCCTCATTTTAATCCGCCAAAACGATTTTAATTGAATGTGGTCAAGCAACTTACTTTTGCTGATGTCGGTTTCTTGGAATATCTTTTGATTTCTTGCGAGCCATATGGTCCACACCACAACGTTCCATATACAGTCCCAGCCTTCCTTTACTCGTTTTTCTTTGGCCCATGCTCCAAACTGCTCAAAAGTTTTCCAGCAATCATTTTCCAAATTAACAGAGGTTCCCCACCATTTCCCACAAGCCTTCCATAGCCACTTTGCCACCTTGCACCTCGGGAAGAGATGATTCGAGTCCTCGACCTCCTCCTCGCATAAAGCGCAGATTCCATCATCCAATTCAATGGTTATTCCTCTTTTTTGTAGGTTGCTCTTTGTTGGTATTCTATCCTGCAGTAGCTGCCAGTTAAAAGCAGAAATTTTGCTTGGGATGATTGGATTCCACACTCTCTTGTGTATTGGAGCTGCATCCAGTCCATTAATTTCATTTGTCAACAGTTTGTAAGCTGATTTAGTTGAGTAGTTGCCTTCCTTGCTATGCTCCCACTTCCATGTGTAGGGGATGTCCTTGTATATCTGCATGCTATCAATCTTTTGTTGTAGTTCTGCTGCTTCTTCCCTTTCCCAGTCGAACAAGGCTCTCATCCACTCTAGATTCCACCTCCATGTTCCATCTTCCTCATTGCCCGTAGGTCTTGTACTTGTGGGCTGTGGCTGCTCCCTCATTCACCAAAATATTCACAATATCCATTCATTTAATAGATATTCATTTAATGACAACTTTTAGGAATTACTGACCTCTGTTCAAAGTGTTTATACTGATTTAAAAGGAAAATTATCAAACAAGACACATTATTCAAATGAGAAAAGATGATCTTTGCTTTCCAGACCTGGCCGATTTGAGTGAAAAAATTCATGAAATCTGCTTTACCTAAACACAAAAATTTTTTATTTCTCCACCAATGTAATTTGAGAATCTAAAGCACAAAATGAAAACTTTACTGGAGGTAATTATCTGCTTAATTCCTTGGAATGTCTTGATTTTGGAGTTACATTGCTTATACTGGTAAATTCAATGGTGCAAGAGTTAGAATAATTTGAGTGGTTGAAATTCAGATTTAATAGGAGTTATGTGTAAAGTTGAAAATCCTAAAAGAGGAAACATGAGGGCTGGTGATGGAAAAAAATTAAGTATCAAGGACTTGGGGTATGAGATTCTAACGCCAGAACACCAGTTGTCATAGTCTTAACTTCACTGAGTATCAGATTGCTCAACGGTTGGTATATTTAATTTATGGAATGCAGTTTCCCGATATGCTGCTATTTGTTTGCTAAAATTAGAGTCAAAGTTATTTGTCTCACAAAATTATAGTATGAGCTTAACTGGAATTATGTTTTTTATATCCTATTTTTGGTTTAATAGATACTAATAGTGATTGCTTGCATTGGTCTAAGTTAATTCTATTTTTGACTAGACATAATTAACTAACCCATGACTTTAGAATTATTTTTAGTTCTTTAATCAAATTATTTCTACTTAATTTTACTACCATCTTTGGTAGCCTTTCCTGTTATTATGTCTGCTAGATTTTTTTTTTTTTTTGGCTGTCTTGGCTCTCAATTTAGGCTTTTATGTGAAATCTTCATTCTTTTTGCAAATGCCCAATTGCCATCAAGGTGGATTTGCTCTCTATAAGCTGATGGTTGAAGCCTTGAAGAATACCTGGTGAAAGTTCACTCTCAACCAAAATTTTCATCCCTTCAGTTCTCAAGCTTTCAGGCATAGTCTAATGGCTTTGAGCCTGTTTAATATGTTATCTCTGTTATATATGCCTTCTTAGCCTTAGACGCACAACCTGGGAACATGTCTCCTATGCCTTTTTTATCTCTAATTTTACCCCTCCCCTCGGTTTATATTTTCTTTTTTCAAAGAAAGAGGTGAACTATTTATTTTTTGTGCTAGGGTAAATTCTTAAATAAATTCTTTTCGGTGACTTCTAAAATATATTTTTTGTCCTGTATATGTTTGATTAATTTCATCAAAAGAAAGTAATTAATTTATCTTAATGAATTTTTTTGTGCACGTAGTTTGCATGTTTTTCATAAAGCTGAGAGATGAAATCATAGGATAATTAACAGGTATTAAATTTCAAATCTTTAGATTAAGATTGTAATTTCTTGAATAATTTGCATAATTTAGTTGCTAATAGGAACCGCTTCTTTTCTTCTCTTTTTTTTTTTTTTTTAACATAACTATTTCTATTTTCCTTCCTTACAATATGATAATCCAAGCAAAACTGGGAACATAATAAGCCATTATTGTTGCAATTTTCTAATTTATTCAACTGATTTGTTGTGTGTAAGAAAATTTGCTAAGTGATTAGATATTTCTTTTAGATATGGAAAGGGGAACTTGAGAAGCTATGTTCTTTGTATTATATTTCTCCTTTGATTCTTCTTTTTCAGCCAATGTTTTTTTTTTTTTTTTTTTAACTTTTTTTAAGATTTCTCTTTTGACTTTCCTATTTTCCTTATTTTGAGGTGTGTACACAATATATTCTGTTTTTATCTTTAGATTGAAGAGATCCATCAGTGCAACAGTTTTGAAAAGTTAGATATTGTTGTTGCTAAGTCTTATTTTATTTTTTCAGTTCTTATCAATTAATATTTTTTCTTATTCTTCTATTTGTATTCATATGAGTCAACTGTTAATTTTATTGAACTATATTTTTCTTATTGATTAAAGGCCATGTATTCATGAAACTCTTTCATTTTTGGATTTCTATTGAAAAAATTGTGTCATTTGCCTAAGTTAAAATTGAAGTTTCTTGATTATCAAGTAGTAGGTTTATATTACCATAGGGCTAATAAAGATAATGTTATGACTGAGGTTATGATAAAAAAGGGATCTATGTTCCACTATATTGGCTTAGGTAAAGTCTGAAAGCAAGATATATAGTAGAGTTATATCTTGGAAGTTAAAACTAGTGAAAGTAATATTGGGTGACAGTGCCACCGTATATGGTGTGTCTGGCCTGGAATGAACCAAAGATACCACCTCGGGGAGCAAAAGAACCATTTGTTCTGATTTTGGAAATTAATTGATTTTAAATTTAGTCATTATGCCTTATAATAGTTGATAGCAACTTAGAAATATTATGTATATAGTAAAGATATAAACTCTTGGAATACCTATTGAAATTTGTATGAACATTAAAATCTGGGATTTTTTGGACCATTAGGTTAATAAACCTTGGCAGTTCTAGAGAAAAGAAAACAGTTTTATCATATCATTTGCCCTTTCACATTGGTTACTTCATGTTGTTACCAAAGTTTTGATTTTGAAATTTTGTAAAGTAGTGTAGCCAATGATAAATTCATTATCAAGAACCCAGTTCTTAGAGACTGTTATCAGAAGGTAATTCTTGAACCCAATTTGAATATTATCCTAACTTTAAGTTAATAGTTGTCACTGATTTAGTTTTGTAGAATGGAGTTATCGTAATTGATTGAGTTTAGGTTTAAGAAATCTGTCAATGGAACATAGAAAATTTAATTAGAGGACATTAGGTACTTTGTGTTAAATAAATATTTTGCATAAATCTGGTTAAATAATTGTTGGCTTCTCTAAATTTAAAGAGAATGGAGTTGTAACACAAATGTCTTCTATTGACGAGTTAGTACCTTAGGGGCATGACTCAAGTGGCTGAGTTGTGGATTGGTAATAGCTGGCATATACTTGATAGTTTTGCTAGATGATATCCAGTTATCACTCAATTAATTCAGCAACAATTCTACAGAAAAGGAGGGTAAGGTAAGATTATATGGCTTTCCGATGTATCATGATGGTTTTTAATTTCTAGCTGTTACAATCCTTTTAGGATCAAACCTCCACATGTGAGCTGGCATGGTATTATTATCTGGTTCGGTAGTAATTTTCTATGCTATGGCTTCGTCATGTTACAAGGTCTTCCTAGCTTCGTAAGGTACTCTTTTGGATGTTTAATGTTCTTGCTGTGGAATAGTAGAGAATTGCAAGCATTTTAGGCGCCCTGGTTTAATTCATACTCATTGGGTATTGCATTTACTCATCCATGTGTATTTGTGCTCAATGCGACCTGTGACTTAATCTCATTCATGGTTTAGAGTTGAGTTATGTATGGTTATTTTCTAATAAGAATTGATAATTTTGACTCGTGATTCGGATTTCTATATTCATTACTCTATAAAAACCTAATAATTGTAACCTGTTCAAACTTGAGCCATTACAAAGATGAGTCAAATACTACACCAGCAGAGGGGGCATTACAGCTAGTAAAAGAATAAAAGACAAAGTTATCTAGAAATCAGTGGTTTAATTTATGGAAGTGAATTTTCTTCTGTTACCATGTCTTATTATAATTTGAACCTTAAAATCTCAAGTGGTTATTATTTTTTTTCCTTTTCTGTTTATGCGAATTATGCAGCCCTATGATTTTTTGTTTCTTCTCATAAATGATTCTGGAGTCCTTTTCCATTGATGGGTGTCAATCATTAACATATTTCTCAAGCTATTATTACTGGAAAATGTCATAGGGAAATGACTTTGAAATTCTCTATAAAGTATAAATAGGTTGATTTCTTTCTTTTCTTTCTCTAGTGCAGACAATGACTGGTGAATCTGGTGGAGGAATGTCTTTCTTCTGGAACTTGTCATACTGGAGTACATTTTTGCTCACTTGGTATGTTTTTCTCTTATCCACGTACTTGCTGTGTCCCTGTTTTTATATCTACATAGAGACATTATTCATCTGTCAACAAGTATATCTTATAACCTTGAAAATGGTACCTCTCATCCATCAACAAGTATTTCTTTAAGAATCGCTTTAGATGCTGAATTTCATGAAGTTGATCATTATACTAATCTCTAAAGATAAAAGGATGATATTATTGAGGAACTTAGAGAGTCTAGCAATTCTGTTAGAGGCTGGATAGAATTGAAAATGTAGGGCTAGGGCTATCCGGTTGAAGGTAAGTGATAGGAAAGCTAAATGCTCTTTCATAGATATGTTAATTTGCTGCTGTAGATTTACCATATTGGAAAAGTTGAATCGTATGAAGAGGAGCTGTCTAGGATGAAAACGTTCAGGTTGGGTTCAATTTGTATCTTTTTACAGTTTTCTATGTTTTATCTGAAAAGAAATACTACTAATGAAATCATTACTAGAGTCTAGAGATACTCAATATTCATGCAACAAAAGAGGAATCAACCTCATTCACAAACTCAATATTGTCACATAACTTTAGAGGTGGTTCCATATTTTCGATATTTCTAAGCTCTTCTTCTCCAAATTCAAAAGGCTATCCTGGAATTAGAAAAAGAAAGACCAAAGGATGGGCCTTTATTTATTAGATGGTCATTGAGCATATTAAGTTAGCAGAGTAATTTTTTCTTTCATATGTTTCATCATCAACCATTAATATTGCAACAGACATGTGCTTTACTTTTGTTTTGCAGAAGCATCTCTTTCGTAGTTTTAGGTTTATTACCATTCTTTGGTGCAGGGGTAAATTTTAGAGGTTTCATTGTTAAGATACATGTATCCTCATAGATTTATATTAAACTATTTCTCTAAGCAGGGCTGTGGTGCCCACTATTCAGGGTCATGAAGATGCTGGAGATTTCACCATGACCGAAAGATTGAGGACTAGCATATGCGGAAACTTAGTCTTGTACCTTTGTATTGGTTCTCTTGGACTTCTTGGACTCATTCTACTAATTATTTTTAGAAAAAATTGGTATGTGTCTTTCTCTGCTGAAGATTCACCTTAGTTTCTTTATTTTTAGCACTAACCTGTTGTTCTTATTAAATTTTTTGTTTCTATTACAAGCGTTCCTCGAGATTTGTGATCATCACTTTAGGTGCAAATTGGTATTTTTGGTTATTGTCACTTGTTTAACATTTTATTTTCAGTAATATATGCCTATACTTGTATACTATAATTTCACTGAAATGCGTTTGTAACCTTACATTATTTTTTTCCTCTGGCCAAAATACAACCTCTATAATTGTGTCTCCTAGAAGCTATATTTTATTTGCTTGTTATTTCCTTCCTACCTTGTCAAGTACATTTTGGACTATTGCCTGATATCTCTGAGCAATTTGGTTCCTTTCTTAATGTTCATCCCCATAACTATCTGTGATCTGTATCTATGGATTTATGGATTCCTTGGGATTGTTTGAGAGAAATTAATTGGCTTTTGTTTAAGAAAATTTACTATTTACAGTAAGTTGCAACTGAGAATGGTCCAATATTGGTTCAGCTTCAATGAGGAACGAAAAGAACACTTGCTGTTAGTACTAGGTTTGTTTAGCATTCTTACCACCGGCAAGCTGAGCTTGATCATTGATGAAAGTTATTTTTAGTTTCTGCTAGAGTATACTATGTTATAGTTTTTCAAAGGTGCATTGAGAATGTGCATTTGAGGTCAGTAGTTTACTAGGCATACAAATATATTTTGCTCTTGCAGTAGACATCAAGATGAATGAAATTGCAGGATCAAAGGGTTAGATCCTTTTACCTTTTAAAGCTATCTTTAGCCCTTTTAAAATTTTTTTTTTTACATTTGTTAATGACTGATCCTTGTTTCTCTCTCACTCTTTTTTTCCTTGTTTTTGGTGCAGGAGTGGGGGTATTCTTGGTCTTGCCATGGCATGCTCAAGTACTTTTGGACTTGTTACAGGTGCATTTCTACTTGGATTTGGTGTGAGTGAAATGCCAAAGAGCATTTGGAAGAAGTCAGATTGGACCATCTGCCAAAAGCTTCTCTCACACAAAGTTTCTAAAATGGCTCTTAAACTTGATGATGCTCATAAAAAATTCAAATGCTATTGTAGTAAATATTTTTTCCCCTTTTAAATTATTGAATTTGTCAGTTTCCTTTTGGTACCATAAAAAGAAATTTTAGAATCCATTTCCTTATCGCCATATTTGGAAGTACACAATTATTGGTTTCCTTATGTTTGCCGAAAAAAAAAATGTAACGTCTAGACATTGAGATATTGTGGAGAAATTGAGAATTTATTAATCTCCTTGTCTTAGAAAAAGGTCAAGAAAGGCCATTCACAGATTCCTCTCTCTAGATATTCAATCTTGTGAAATAGGGAATCTAAAATGATTAGAATTCATAACTTCCATCTTTCATAGGATCATCAGCTTAATGTAAAAGATAAAACAGAAAAAAGATCGATAGTATGCATGTTGATGATGGCATTACATAAATGATATTTCATCATTCTTTTTCACATAGAGAAGCAAGAAATTATCATGGTCCTAAATAAATTTGATTTGCAATGAACGACAACTTTGAAAGGTGGTAGGACAGAATACCCAACAGCTAACCTCTGACAAAACACAACTTCTCATATATCAATGATCTTCAAATGGAGGGTGCCAAGAACTGTTGAGTAGTTTGCAAATGTTGAGGTCCCACGTCAAGAAAATATGGGAAGTTAAAGGAATTTATAAAGGCTTATTTGTTATCAACAAATAGATAAATAAAGTGAAGCCCAAGATAAATTGGGTCTTGCCCTTTATATATAGTCAAAGATGGGCACTTGGAGCACCTTGGAGCTTGCTTCCAAAATATTTATTTTTTATTTTCGGAATTTTAATTTAATTTATTAAATTTTAATCCAAAAAGACATGTTTGAATATTGGATAACCTTTGGAAGTCTAAAGGTATCTCTATGAAATGGTGTTTTTCTGGAGGGATACATCCCTACAAGTAGTGGCTTTTCAATCAATATAAATTCCTATGCAAAGTCAAAGTTCTACATCTAGTTTTTGAGAGAGTTTGAGTTCTGTTGTATCCTGGAGGATTTTTGAATCCTTAAGGATAGTGATATCACGCCTCAGAACTATCTGTTTTTCTTTCTGATAATCCTTATCGTTAACAATCTTAAGGATTCAAAAATATTATCCTTATGGCTCTTCCTTTAAACGCCAATATCAAGTTGCTGAATCCAGACGCAGTCAGATTGGATAGGTTCGATGGCACCAACTACATGCGATGGAAGGATAAGATGACTTTCTTACTGACAACACTGAAGGTGTCGTATGTTCTTGATCCTAATCTACAACCTATCCCAGTGCCAGAAGAGAATGATTCTGAAGGAGTGAAGAACGCAAGACTGAAGCGTGAAGAAGATGAACTCATATGTCGTGGACATATTCTGAATTCTATCACCGATAGGCTTTATGATCTGTATCGCAATATGTCTTCCCCTCAACAAATTTGGATTGCTTTGGAAAGGAAATACAAACATGAAAAGAAAGGTACAGACAAATTTCTTGCACTTAAATATTTTGAGTTTTTAATGAAGAATGATATTTCCATCATGGATCAAGTGCACGAGTTGCAAATTCTGGTATCAAGGATGTCAGAGTTGGAGATAAAGATTCCAGATTCACTTCAAGTGGGGGCAATACTTTCAAAACTTCCTCCATCTTGGAATGATTACCGAAAAAAGGTTTTACATTCAGATGAAATTCTGACTATGGAACAATTTCAAACACATCTCCAGATCGAGGCAGAAAACCGTTCAAGGGATGCAATATTGGCTCCATTGAAAGTTAATCATGTAAGTCAAAATTCTGCCAAGCCTTTCCAAAATAAACTCAAGCCTCAACAACAGAAATTCAGTCCTTTTGAGAAAGCCTCTCTTAAGAAAAATCAGCCTTGTTTTCATTGTGGTAAGAAAGGTCACTTTATTAAAGACTGCAAGTTCAAGAAGAATGCAAGGAATTTTGGTTCTGGCATTAATGCAGAAACAAGCAACAAGGCAAATCTGATTGAGCATGAGTTGATTGCCATGGTTTCTGAAATGCAAATTGGAATGGTGACTGAATTAAACATGGCAAATCCAACCAAATCTATGGATTGGTGGTTGGATTCTGGTGCAACAGCTCATGTGTGCAATAATAAGGCACAATTCAAGTCTTATGAGGACTTGAAGGAACCAGAGGAAGTGCTGATGGGAAACAACGTCACAGCAAAGGTTCTAGGCAAAGGCACAGTGGAATTAAAGTTCACTTCAAGCCACAAATTGACCTTGGTTAATGTTTTCCATGTACCTGATATTAGGAAAATTTTGGTGTTTGTAAATTTGTTATGTAAAAGGGGCTTAAGGGTTGTCTTAGAATCAGATAAGGCCATTATATCAAAGAATGGCAATTTCGTGGGGAAAGGTTATTCTTGTGATGGAATGTTTAAATTGAGTATTAATGAAATAAATAATGTTTCTGCTTATATTGTTGAGCATTCTTCTTCTTTATGGCATGCTAGACTAGGACATGTAAATTATGAATCATTGAAATATATGTCTAAGCATGGATATCTAACTTGTCAAAATGATTTTACAAATAAGTGTGAAATTTGTGTACAAGGTAAGATGACTAGAAAACCTTTTCCAAAAAGAGAGAAACATACAGAATTGTTAGAGTTGGTGCATTCTGATATTTGTGAATTAAATGGTCATCTTACTAGAGGGGGTAAAAGATATTTCATTACATTCATTGATGATTGTTCTAGATTTACATATGTGTATCTTATGAGAACAAAAGATGAGGCTTTTGCCAAGTTTAAAGAGTATAAATCTGTTGTGGAAAATCAGAAAGAGAAGAGAATTAAAGCTCTTCGTAGTGATAGGGGAGGTGAGTATTTTTCAGATGCCTTTTCACAATTTTGTGAAGAACATGGCATAATATATCAAAGAACAGCCCCCTATTCACCCCAACAGAATGGGTTGGCAGAAAGAAAAAATAGAACTTTGGTTGACATGGTTAATTGCATGTTGATAAATTTGAAGTTGCCATTTAATCTTTGGGGAGAGGCACTTCGTACTGCCAATCATGTTACCAACAGAATTCCATCAAAGAAAACTCATGTTTCTCCATATGAGACTTGGAATAATGGTAAAAAACCAAATCTGAATTATCTCAAAGTGTGGGGGTTTCTTGCCTTTTATAAGGTTTCAGACCCACAAAGAACAAAACTAGGACCTAGAGGCATTAGAAGTGCATTTGTTGGTTATGCAATTAATTCTAAGGCCTATAGGTTACTAGATTTAGAGTCAAATGTTATAGTAGAATCTGTACATGTTGAGTTCTTTGAAGACAAGTTTATTAAAGATTCTTTTACTATGTTTGATTCTAGAAATTCTTTGAATAATTCAATGAATGAAAATCATAATGGTACAAGTACAAGTACACTTCATGAGGAGAAAAGAAAAGAGAATGATGGTTCAATTGAACCAAGAAGAAGTACAAGGATTAGGAGAGAAAAGTCTCTTGATCCTGATTTTATTTCTTCTCAATCTATTGTCTTCCTAGTTGAAGCAACTAGAACTGAAATAATTCGAAAAATACCCATGGTATTAAATGTTAAAGAAGATCCAAAAACATTTCAAGAAGCAATGTCTTCAAGGGATGCAGCCTTTTGGAGAGAAGCTGTGAATGATGAGATGGACTCTATCATGTCCGATAATACTTGGACTTTAGTGGATCTTCCGTATGGTTCTAAACCAATTGGTTGTAAATGGGTATTTAGACGAAAATACAATACAGATGGAACAATACAAACCTTCAAAGCAAGGTTGGTTGCAAAAGGTTTTACTCAAAAGAAAGGAATAGATTATTTTGACACATGCTCATGTTGCAAGAAGAACATCTATAAGAGTTCTCTTTGCATTGGCTTCGATTTATAAGCTGTTTGTGCATCAAATGGATGTTAAAACAGCATTCTTGAATGGTGACTTAAGTGAGGAAGTATACATGGAACAACCAGAAGGTTTCATACTTCTTGGAAATGAAAGAAAAGTTTGTAAATTAGTTAAGTCACTATATGGCCTAAAGCAAGCTCTCAAGCAATGGCATCAAAAATTTGATACACATATTCTAGCAAATGGATTCAAGCATAATGATGCAGATAAGTGTATCTATTCAAAGTTTACTAAGGATTATGGAGTTATAGTATGTCTCTATGTTGATGACATGTTGATCTTTGGTACCAACATGTTGGGAATAAATGAGACCAAAGAGTATCTAACTTCAATCTTTAAAATGAAAAACTTGAATGAAGTAGATACTATTTTGGGAATTAAAGTAAAGAGACATGATTATGGCTTTGCACTTAGTCAATCTCATTATATAGAAAAGATGTTGAACAAATTCCAACATCTTAATATAAAGGAAGCTCCTACTCCATATGATCCTAGTATGAAGTTGACTCTAAACTCAGATCATGTTGTTGCTCAATTAGAATATGCTAGTGCAATTGGGAGTTTAATGTATGCCATGCATTGTACTAGGCCGGACATAGCATTTGTGGTATGCAAATTATCAAGATACACAAGTAAACCAAGCCATGAACATTGGAAAGCCATTAGAAGAGTTCTTGGTTATCTTAAAAAGAAAAAAGAGCTTGGTTTAGTTTACTCAGATTATCCAGTGGTTCTAGAGGGATACATTGATGCAAGTTGGATAACTAGTAAGAGTGATAACAAATCTACATCAGGATGGATTTTCACACTTAGAGGAGGTGCTATAAGTTGGGTATCAAAGAAACAAACATGCATTGCACACTCCACAATGGAATCTGAGTTTATTGCTTTGGCAGTAGCAGGCAAGGAAGCAGAATGGTTGAGAAATTTATTGCTTGATATAAAGTTGTGGCCACAACCTATGCCAGCCATTTCCTTGCACTGTGATAGTGAGGCTACAATGTCTAGAGCATATAGCAATATTTATAATGGAAAATCCAGACATATTAGTCTTAGACATACTTATATTAGAGAGTTGATCACTAGTGGGGTTATAACGATCATATATGTAAAGTCTGCAGACAATCTAGCTTATCCTCTCACCAAAGCATTGCCACGAGATGTGGTGGAAAGGATGTCAAGAGGAATGGGGCTTAAATATTTAAATTAGGCATTGGTAATGGGAACCCAACTTTTATTTAGTCATTTCTAAATTCAAAGTTTAATGGGTAAGAACAAGTTACTATATATGCCTGTTTAGCACTTGATATCCATTCCTACTTTAGTGCTGTCTGTTGCGCTTTGGAGGATGAGTGTATACTCTTAATGGAGTTAATAATTATTAAATGTCTATAGCAATAGAGACATAAAGAACTCCACCTACATGGTCATAGAAGTGGTGCCGCTTCCACAAGAAGATGTTAGATTCTCTTGTAAATGACCGTTATTAGCAGGATGAGCACATGGCCATAATAGTGCTACAAGGTTCTAAACCTCTTGGATTAGATAGACAAGTCTTATGTGTGTCATACATTCATGTCTAATATAAGAAGTTATGGTTTAATCCTTGGACACCAATAACTTCATTAGATATGACGTATGTACACTAATAGAAGGTTTAAATCGAGAGACGCCTTCTTTAAGCATATTTCTTGTTGAGTAGAACTAAATTAACATTTCCAAACTAGTGGGGGAATGTTGAGTAGTTTGCAAATGTTGAGGTCCCACATCAAGAAAATATGAGAAGTTAAAGGAATTTATAAAGGCTTATTTGTTATCAACAAATAGATAAATAAAGTGAAGCCCAAGATAAATTGGGTCTTGCCCTTTATATATAGTCAAAGATGGGCACTTGGGGCACCTTGGGGCTTGCTTCCAAAATATTTATTTTTTATTTTCGGAATTTTAATTTAATTTATTAAATTTTAATCCGAAAAGACATGTCTAAATATTGGATAACCTTTGGAAGTCTAAAGGTACCTCTATGAAATGGTGTTTTTCTGGAGGGATACATCCCTACAAGTAGTGGCTTTTCAATCAATATAAATTCCTATGCAAAGTCAAAGTTTTACATCTAGTTTTTAAGAGAGTTTGAGTTCTGTTGTATCATGGAGGATTTTTGAATCCTTAAGGATAGTGATATCACGCCTCAGAATTATCTGTTTTTCTTTTTGATAATCCTTATCGTTAACAAGAACACTTGTATATATTTTCTGATGAGGGAGAGAGGCTTGTATACAGTGTCTTGAGAATTGTGTCATTCATGCATCATGTATTCACTCTCATGTTTTTGTCAAAAGTTCAGTTATGGCGTCTTGATCACCTTAAATACTACATCATTCTGAATTCAGTACCATATATTATCTAGTCTGGTAATGCAATCCAATGTAGCCCTTTTTTTTTTCTCTTGTCCAAGTCATGTAGGACTACGTAGACTTTCCAGCATTCTACTCTTTTAGCCAGCAGGTCTGTGATGGGTGATATATTGCCATTGCTTGATTGATTTAGTTTTATAATTCAGTCACTAGACATGTCTGTAGATTATTTTCTTTTTCCTTGTATTTTCATTCACAATTTACTTTGCATTATTTCATTAGGTAGCTCAGGCAACATCAGATCAGATCTCCAAGCTTGATCCTTTGAGACCACTCATGGATGTTATTGATAACATGTTGCTTCAAATGGTATTGCCGCCCTTGTGTACAATCTTGAAGTGTTAGTCTCAAAATGCAAATTTGTACGCTTCACCTTTTATTTCCTATTTTGCATTTAAAAGAAGATCCCTCTTTCAAACCACAAGGGGGAAGATTAGGGTAAAATGATATGGACTATGACGCTGATGTGAAAACTATGGCAACGCTTAGATGTCACCTTAGGATAGCTAGAGAAGAGTATTAACAATGCAAAAAGTATATACTTTAATATGCTTAGTTAAATATATTGTGTAATACTCTTGATCCATGAATTGCAAATGCTGCTGCTTATGACAACCATTTCACAAACTGGCTCCATTTACAAATTCTAAATTTCAGTGGGCCAAGTAAGAATTTTGGAAGTTAGTTTACCTGTAGCCTCCCCGATTTTCAAAGAACTATCTCTGTCTCTGATTCTCTGTCCTTGGCTCAATAGAAAAAGGCTTGAGAAAAAGGTCAAATAACTAACAATTATTGATCAGCAATCATAACTTGCTTTGCTAAAGAAATCTTTTTCATGAAGAGGCTACCATACTCTGCTTCCAAGTTAGTTTTTCCTGTGGTAATTAAAGTTAACTATTAGTCTTTTGCAGTGAATATATGAATTTTGTCTTGGAAGCCCTTGAGCTTGAAGACACCATGAAAAACTATGAGCACAGGGAAGCGACTGGATGGTTTGCCTCTAACCTCTAACCTGTAGTTTATTTTCTTCAATAAATAAGTGAATTATTTTTCTGATGTCTTCCACCTATTCCACCATATGTTTCTAACTTCTGGGGCACATAAGATATATGATGTATCTGAATTAGTTATGCTATCCTAGGGTCAAAGTGGTTTGCTGATCTCTAGAAAGTGCTAGGTTTTTACATCTTTGTTCATGGTCCGTACTCAGTTGACATGGGAAGTCTTTTTCTGTAACTTTTTTTTGCTCTTTACTCTATAACATTTTAGAGTTTTTTTTTTTTTTTGAACAGCCAAAAGTAATATTAATTAAAAAACGGAGTACAAGGGGTGCCCTAAACCCATTAACATCCCAACTGGAAAAGCATAAGTTTATATCCGTATGGTGTCGACACCAAAATTGTGTGTCAACACCACATCCGTGTCGGAGTTCTTGGTGCTCACCGTATGGTGTCGACACCAAATTTATGTGTCGACACCACACCCGTGTCAGGTTTTCTGTCCTCTTTTGCAATTTCTCCACATCTCACTGTTTTGATCATCAAACCCACTGGCACGGGAAACCCCTACTGTTAAAGAAACACCTTCATATGGTATTACTGCAGACATCATATCAGCTCACCTTGCTCAAGCTCTATCAATCTTAGTTTTGGAACTTTTACTATTCGACATCTACTTGGAGCATTGCACTAGTCCGCAAAAGAGTATGTCCAGCCTTCAATTTTGCTCTTTGTCCAGCAGTATGAGTTTTATTGTACCATGTGGAACACTTCGTCAGTGGATACTTGCTTTGCCTCAAAAATTCTACGGTTCCGAGTTGACCATAAGGCCCAGATTGTAGCATACCATATCACCTGCCACCCTTTTTGGTTTCTACCCGCCCAGCTATGTTGGAGAAAAGCATCCTTACAACTCCTGGCCATGACATACTTGATTTCTCACCATGCGAGATTTTTGTTCGAAATTTTTCCTGAAAAATCACATCACAGTAGTAGGTGGTCCTCATTTTTTGTTATTTCTGCACAGAAACTGCACTTAGCATCTGCTTCTTGTCTAATGATATTTCTCTTCAGGAGGTTTACCTTGCAAGGTGTACATCCAAGCATTGACAGCCAACTAAAAGCACAGATTTTCAATGGGATTGTCGAGTTCCAGCATCTCTTAAGACATTTGATTTCATCCCCTTCTTCTGTTGTTGTTAGCATCTTGTATGCTGATTTTACTATGTATTCACCATCTTTTTCATATCTCCACCACCATCTATCATCAGCGTCTTTTCGAATTTGCACATTTTGTATGGTGCTCCGAAGTTGTGTTTCTTGGTCCTGTTCCCTTGTTGATAATCTTTTCCTCCATTTTAATCTCCATCTCCATGAACCACCTATCCATTCTCTCATTTGCTGCACTGTGCTTTGTCTATCTGTGGAAAGATAAGATAATCGAAGGAACATTACTTCTAAGCTATGAGATCCCACCCACACTTGTCTCCAAAAGGAGACCTTAGCACCATCTCCTATAACCAACTTAAAGCCCGACTTCACCCAACCCCGTTTCCCCTCAATCAACTCATTAATTTTGCAAACATCTTTCCACCATCTAGATCCCCTGTTCTGCCCCTCTGTTATCCATTCTCCCCAGCTTCCTCCTTCCCCTCCATATTTATCTAAGAGCACTCTTCTCCATAAGCCTCCTTGCTCATTAACTAATCTCACCCACCATTTCCCCATCAACGCTAAATTAAACATCCTAAGGTCTTTAATACCCATCCCCCCTTGTTTCCTATCCTTACAAACTTTATCCCACCTTACCCATGCAATCTTGTTTCTCTCCTCACACCCACCCCATAAAAATTTCCTTCTAATTGCATCAATCTTTTTTATCACTCCAGCAGGTAAGAGATAAGTAGACATAAGGAAGATAGGAAGACTAGTCAACACAGAGTTTATAATGACAATACGCCCCCCCAAGGATAAGAACCTGTTTTTCCAGCCAGCCAACTTCCTTCCTATTTTGCTTATCAGTTTTGCCCATGTGTCCTTGCTTCTCAAACTTGCTCCAATTGGCATGCCCAGGTAGGTCATGGGTAGTTTACCCATTTTGTAATTCAAGAATATGGCCCAATGTTGAGAGACTTCCTCTTCTGTATTCATTCCATACAACTTGCTTTTGTTGTAGTTGATTTTGAGTCCCGAAACCATTTCAAAGATCCTCAATATACTTTTAATTGCCTTGACATTTCTTTCCAAGGCCTCTCCAAAAATGATAGTGTCATCCGCAAATTGGAGATGAGAAATTTTCAGCCCCTTCGAGCCTACCGTAATTCCATTGAACAAATCTTTTTTTTCAGCGGATGCTAATAGTTTTGAAAGGCCCTCAACGGCTATAAGGAACAAGAAGGGGGAGAGAGGGTCACCTTGTCGCAGACCCTTGCTCACACTGAATTCCTTTGTTGCACTGCCATTCAATAAAACTGAGATTGTGCTTGAGCGAAGACACTCCATAATCCACTTCCTCCAAACATTGTCAAAGCCCATACGCATCAGCATATAATCTATGAAATTCCAAGAAATCTTGTCGTAGGCTTTCTCGAAGTCAATTTTGAAGATGAGGCTCTTTTTCTTCTTCTTCTTAATCTCGTCGATGGTTTCATTGGCCACAACTACATTGTCCATAAGCTATCTCCCTTGTATGAATGCTAACTGTTGTTCGCTTATCAATCCCTCCATCACCTTCTTCATTCTGTTTGCAAGTAGTTTTGCAATAATTTTGTACATGCATCCGATTAGCGAAATTGGTGTATAGTCCTCAATTCTTACTGGGTTCTCCTTTTTCGGAATTAGAACAATGAAAGATGCATTTGAGCCTCTTACTAATGTTCCACTTGTATGAAAGTCTTCAATGAATTTTACAACATCATCCTTCACTATCTCCCACATTGCTTTGAGAAACCCGAAATTGAATCCATCTGGTCCTGGGGCCTTTGAACTGTCACAGTCCCACACAGATTCCTTTATCTCTTCTTCTGTGAATTGTGCAGTCAGCATTATGTTTTGCTCAAGTGTGACCTTCTTGAATTCAATTCCCTCCAATATTGGTCTTTCCCAATCATCTTCTGTGAATAGTTCCTGGAAGTACTTCATGACACCTTCCTTTAGATCTGTGATCTCCATTAGTTTCGTGCCTCCCACCTCCAGGTAGTTAATTTCATTTCTACGCCATCTGCCTTTGATGCATTGATGAAAAAACTTTGAGTTTGCATCTCCGAGTTTGAGCCATTGAGTTCTTGCTTTTTGTCTCACCATACAATCTTTGATTTGCATTTTTTGCCACAGATTGACTTCATTCTTCTTTTTTAATTCCAGCTCCTCTTCAGTCAATGTTTGAGCTTCACCTTTCACATCTATTTGGAGTATCACTTCCTTGCATTGTTCTATTGTTTTGTTCAGCTCACTATTGTATTCTTTGCTCCATTTCTTCAAATATACTTTAGTTGCTTTTAGTTTCTCTTTGAGAATAAAGCCACCTGTTCCTTGGAGCTCCTTTGTTCTCCACACCTCTGCCACTTTGTCTTTGAATTCCGAATGCCTAAGCCAATCATCAAAGAAGCGAAATGGCTTTGGCCCCCAATTCTTCACCTCATTTTTCAATAGCACTGGACAGTGATCTGAGATGCTTCTCATCAAACCCCACTGTTTCAAGCCTTCCCATGTTACAAGCCACTCCTCATTTATTAAGAATCTGTCTAGGCGACTCATGGCTCTCCCATTTGGTTGATACCAGGTAAACCTTCTCCCAATCATTGGTAAGTCGATCAACCCTGTTTCTGCTATGAATGCCTCAAAACCCTCCATCTCCTTTTGTATGCCCTGACACCCTCTTCTTTCTTCCTGTGAGATAGTGACATTAAAATCCCCTTCCACGCACACAGTTGTGTCTTTGTAGTTAACAATGTTGCCCAGTTTGCTCCATAATTCATTCTTTCCTTTGCTGTCACATGGTGAATAGACATTTATAATGTAAATAGGAACCTTTTCAGTGCCCCAAAAGCCATAGACACCCAAGTATCCTGGTCCCTGGAAAGACTTATCAATCTTAAATATATCACAATTCCATACACATAAAAGACCCCCGGCACTACCTTCGGCATTCATGGTTGCCCATTCAAAATTATTCATCCCCCACAATTCACTACAAATACCTCTGTCTACATTTCCCAACTTAGTTTCCTGCAGCATCAAAAATTCTACTTTCTCCTTACCCACCAAGTTCCTTATCTCCCTTCTCTTCCACTGACTTTCTATCCCTCTAACATTGTAGGACACTAGAATCATCGGAACATACCTTCCCCTCTAAGAGTGCGTGTTTGATTGTTGGGTTTCTGTTGATTCCTGTCTCTTTCCTCTAGCTGCTCCAATTTCTGTAGGATAAGTTCCTCATTCCCCTGTGTCTCTACACCAATTTCTTTTGCAAGTTCCCAAATTTCCTTTGCTCCAAATTCCTCCTTGCTTTTTAAGATGGCCCTGTTACAATTGTTGATATTGCTGTCGTTTATGGACTCACCGGCCACTGCACAATTCACATCGGGGATGAACTCCGGTAAGGACATGTCCGTTGGTTGATTCTTCTTTGTTCTTCCTCATCTTCTTTTCCTTGCCTCTATTTTGATTAGCTTGGCTGCTTTATAAACTACTGCACATGCCTTTGTCCTTCTACTCTTCTTCCGAGTTTTTGATTCTACCTTCCCCTTCATCCACTGTCTCACCATCCTAGTATCGTTGTCCATCTCCTGGAAAAAAGACCTCCAGCTTTCAGTCGCACTTGAGCTGCACCCATTTGTTTTTTTCTTTATCTGTTCTGGCCCATTGCTTCTCACATTATTGGGTTGTTCCTCTATTCCTTTGAGGTGTATAATGGCCTGCATTGAATCTTGGGTCTGTTTAGAGTTTGCATGGGACTTCTTTTTTGGCCCATTTGCTTCTGGCCCAACTGCCCCTCCATCCACCTTCTTGTTGCTTTTTTGGTTCATTTCCAACAGAGAACCTCTTTTTTCAACTATTGTTTCTTCAACCCAACTACAATTTTCTTCAATTGGTTCCACTTCATTAATCCCACTTGCATCATTACTTATTTCAAAATTTGCAGCCGTTAGCCCCATTCTTCCACCCCCATGTGACGTTTCCCCCATCATTTCCTGGCTAGATTTTGAATTTCTCTCCTTGGGAGTGTAATTTTCTGATGCCTCATTTAATGCTTGAGTTGACCACATATCTTGGCACTGCCTTTCCTTTGAGTCTTCCTCATCCCGTTCACACCAAGGCGCCACATCCTTGTCTTCTTCATCTCCAGTATCAGAGGGATTTTCAGATCTTTCAAGCACCCCATTCATGGAGCCTGCTACTTCTACCGACCCAAGTGACCAAGATTCACTATCATGATCACTACAGGACTTTTTTTTAATCCCAAAATCAGACCTCAAAGTAAACAGATTGTTGGAGTGTTCTTCCTCCGTGCACTGTATATTGTAGAATTCTCCATTTATCTTCACGGTGAGCTTTTTTGATATCATCTCCATGCAGGGTGTAGAAATCAGGACTCTACCAACATCAAATCTTTTTTTGTTGCTGGTGCTATCATCCAAGGAGATAAATTTTCCCCAAATCATGCTTAGATCATGGAAGAATTTGGGTCCCCATGCATGTAGAGGAACTCCCTGGCATTTTATCCATGTAAACCTCTCCATAGCAACCATTGACGGTGACCATGGTCTTACTTCATCGAACCATTGTCCTAACCAATCTCCTACATTAGTTACTAAGTCTTTCAGCTCTTCTTTGTCTGCACATTGCAGTAATACAAGCTTCCCACCCACTGGTTTTAGTGAAATAGAAAAATATCCCTCCATGTAGAATTTCTCTTGAATATAACATTTTAGAGTTAGCCATGATATTCATTGTGCTGTTTATAAAAGTTAGGCAGGATTGGTAAAACAGGTTGTTGAGCTTTTTCTAATTTGTTTACCATCATTTATTAGCATTTGAGTTCACATACAAATAGGTCTCTGATGTCTTTGTAATGCTGTTCCTAGTCCTAGCTTTTTTGTTACATTTGGACTCGGGGATTACCATTAGGCTGTTTGAGTTGGTCATATCCACAACGAAAGTTCAGGATATAATACTTTAAAAAATCATAATGGTGGATTTGAAATGTATACATCATGGTAAATTTTGTCACTAATGTGCCTTTTCTTCATAATACAAAGTGTTCAATTGTCGGAGAGCCACTTTCTGTGAGCAGATCTGCAGGGGAGGATGAATGGATTGAGGAAAGTCAACAAGAAGGAATAATTGGTTCTCTGTACTGGAAAATATAACTTGGAGTAAATCTTGCCCTGTAGTTCTGTAGTGATAAGAAAAAAAAAGAGAGGAGGGAATGGTTCTAAATTTGAAATGTTAAGAATTCAACTGATATGTTTCATTCAATGTATGACTTTGCCTTGAAGTTGGTGCTGGGACCCCTTAAGCTTGAGAAATATTTGAGATATTGAGAATATGTGAGAGATCTTTCCTATGAAAGCCTTGTGTTAACTATTATATCCAAACTTGGACCATACTAAATGTTATATAATTCTTTGACTGGACTCAGTAGAATTCAGAACAAGGTTTTTTGTAGCTAACCCTAACTTATTTCACATTATCACTTATTTCTGCTGTGCAAAAATTTTCATTTGGGAGGTCAAGTGTTGAAGATCACATTTTCTGTTTTCCTCCTTTTGGCTACTTTTATCTTTCTATGAAGTTATTTGTTTGATATTGACTAAGTTATAAGATATTATGGCAATTCAGAAATGTTTCTCAACTCAAGTGAGCATGTCGGTGTATATTTGTTGTTATTACTTGAGGCACTTAAATTACAGGCTAGTGTGCATTTAATATCCAGACCTGAGACCATGGAGTAAATGTTAACTTACCACCTTTTCTCAAAAATAGAAAATTCATTTTGATGCTTTTTTTTTTTTTTGAATGTTACAGGAAATATGTTTCAAGCTTCAGGCCTGAACGAGCTGGCACATTTGGGGCCTTTCTTGACATGCTTGGTAATTATCATGACAAAAGTACTATCTTTGCATATTATTTTGCTACGCTGGATGCTTATAAGTATTATCGAAGTTCTTGTAGATGAATGGCCGCAATGGTGGGGGGTTTTAGGTAATAAAACAATGAAAGGAGTATCTCTGTTGTCCAAAACCTTTAACGAGAAGAGGTTTTCTCTTTCAATGAGTGGAGATGCCGCAAAAAATGTGTTTCCTACGTCCACAAAAGTCACTTAGTAAATAGTAGTTAGTGAAATGAGCAATTACTGAAATGCTAGATATGGTAGCTTACATTTTATGAAAATTTTTTTTTTTCCAAAATGCTGTGGGATTTTAATCACTTAAATTTCTGTTAGAAATGAATTTTGGTTCTTGTTGTGAAATTTTAAGAGGCAGTTTTCTTTTTTTGAACGTTGGGGGTGGGACTTATTAACAGATTTATTCTTACTTTAATGGAAAATTAACAGATTTTGTTAGTTTAGAAGTTAAAAACTTTTAAACATTTAAGTGTAAGAGTTAAAAATTTTATAACACGAAAGTGAAGAGTTAAAACTTTTAAATTTAATAAGATGAGGAATTAATCACATATTTAGCATGAAAATTGAAGCCCACAGAGGTCAAGGGTTCTACTCGGGCGGTGGGTTTCCTCCATGTACGGAGAACAATCCAGTCCATGATGGATGGGCCTGGCCTGCTCCAAATCTCCAACATCTATTTCCACTCTTCCCGCCCAAACGCAGGCCACCGCAGCAATCGCCGACTATCCCACCCTTTTCCGTTCGTCTTCTCCCTCTTCTCTGCAACCAATGAACAAAACCGCCATGAGCTCACCGGAGACAGGCAACATTCCGGTCGAGGTGACCTCCATACTTGATTATCTTGTAGCTTACCACTCCGATCAGCTCCGCTCCATTGCGCTCTCACCGGACCTTAAGTTCCACTATCCTCTCTTTATCGAGTACTCTCTCGTCTCCTAATCCACTATCCTCTCTCTCTCTCTCTCTCTTCTTTTTTCTCATTTTTCTTTCTCGTGTTTCTTCTTCTATTTCTTCTTAGGTTTGCGGAGCTTTTGGATGCCGATCCTGCACTTGCCCACAACGTCTACTACAAACCTGATAAATACTTTAGATTCTTCGATTATGCCGCTGTTTTAGCTCAGGTATGAAATAGACGCAAAAAATTTGGTTCACATTAGCTTCATATTATTTTTGGGAAAATTATAGTATTTGTTTATTTGTTCTGCTACTACTTTTATTTTGATTTTTCCAAGTAGAGTTTCCTAAATTTTGAGTTTTGATGTGGGAATTTTCTGATTTGTGTGTTAGTTTACGGTTAGATTGAAGCCCTGTCAAATTAGGAAATTTGAGATGGACATGAGCCTATTTATGACCGGCAAAAAGGAAGAGTAGAGTATTAGAGTCTAGATATTACATTTCCCTTTCTTTCTCTATATTAGTGAAATTTTGTGAGAAAACGGATTAGGGAATTTGTGAAGGACTGGAAATGAAGAACATTAGTATCTGGACGTGGTTGTACATGTGATCTAAATTCCAAGGTAGAAGCTTGTTAGAATGAGGATCTTAATGTGGGAGTGGGAGTTTAAAAAAAAAAAAAAAATTCAATTTTTGTGCATGCATATGCATATTTACATTTTATTTCTGGATAATACTGATTTTACAAATTTGATGTGCATGCTTGGCTGAGTCTGTTTCAGAAAGAAGTATTAAAGGATTCCATTTTTCATGGGAAAGGGGTTGAGAAGATAATGCACCAGGAAAAAACAACAAGCATGCAGAAGCTACTCTGTAGCACCACTAGGCCGGTGCAACTTTGTCAACATGGCCACAAGTCAACAAAAATGGCCACTAAATTCCACAAAGATGGCTAACTCCCAATTGCATTTTCACTTTTCATTTATTGCCTTCATTAGATTTTGCCTATAAATAGCAATGTTCTCACCATTGTAGGTATCAAGTTTTACTCAAATTTCAGTTTATATTTCTCCTTTTTTGAGTGAGTTTTTTTGGGAGTGGATTCTCTTAATTTATCTCTGTATCTTAGGTCTTGCCAACCTAAGTGGTGAACCTGACAATCGAATTCATCGTAGTGGGATTCTAAATCTCGCCAAAATCGGTGTTTCGGTATCGGCTCCTACACCATTTGGTATCAGAGCCAATATATTTGGAGTCTGCACGTCATTCTGAATGTTCAGGTGAAAATCCGGTCGACGAACAAGGTAGCACGCGCCTCAACGCGCCTCCACGCACCAGCCACTCGCACCACTGCAAATCGCGTGAAAGTCACGCGCCGGTCATCTTCAACTTCTCATTTGCCATGTCATCGACGCATCATCAGCCACGTCATCGACAAGTCATCATCCAGTCACTGCCACATAATCTATTTGCCACGTCATCTGTGCCATGTCACTTGAGACATCATCAGACACGTCAATGACACGTCATCACCGCAGCAGCACTCTTTTACCACGTCATCAAGTCCCTCAACTTATTTTGACCTTACAGATTGATCCCATAATTTTATAAATTTCAAATTACCCCCACTTTCAAATACTAACTTTCCAAAAAGCCCCTTACCAACCTAAACTCATCATGCCTCCTAGAAGACAAAATCCTCCTCGTCAACGAGCTGTTCGAGACATAAAGATGGAAGAACTACATCAAAAAATTCAAAGGCTTCAAGAAAGACTCGAAACTTTTAAAGGACAACAAGCTCAACACCCGCAAGATGAACCACATGAGTCAAAGGAAGATACTGATGACGAGAATCCTTTCCATCACCTAAGGGATAATGAAAGCTCATCATGAACAGGAAAAGTTCATCGTCGACAATGTCCCCAACAAAATGCTGCTCCCAAATCCACTGACTTTGGCATCAAAATCGATATTCCAGATTTTGAAGGTCGCCTTCAACCAGATGAATTTATCAACTGGTTGCACACTGTGGAACGTGTGTTTGAACTCAAGAATATTCCTAACAACAAACTTGTGAAGCTCGTCACCATCAAATTAAAGAAACATGCATCCATTTGGTGGGAGAATCTCAAACGCAGTCGAGAAAGAGAAGGCCGCAACAAAATTAGAACTTGGGAGAAAATGCGTCGGGAGTTCACTCATAAGTTCTTACCTGACCGTTACTACCAAGATAATTTTGTTAAATTTCATAACTTGCAGCAAAAATCTTTGACTGTGGAAGAATATACTATGGAGTTTGAACAATTAATGATGAATTGTGATGTTCGAGAAAAAGAAGAGCAAACCATAGCAAGATATCTTGGAGGATTAGACAATGACATTTCCAAAGTAGTTCAACTTCAACAATATTGGACTTTGGATGATGTCATTCGGCTAGCATTGAGGGTTGAAAAGCAAATCTCAAAGAAGAATATTACTATTGCTTCAAAACCACGAGATTTTGAAGCTAGCTAAGGGACCCAAGCCTCAAAGATTGTTGCTGAGACACCTGCCAAAGTTGAGAAGGAAGCTAGTTCAAGCTGTCCAGCCCAGCCTAACACTCGAAAGTGTTTCAAGTGTCAAGGATTTGGCCACATTGCCTCTGACTGTCCCAATAAGAGAATTATCACCATTATCGGATGAGAGATTCATGAAGTCTTAGATGGTGAAGCAGAAAAGGAGATTAGTGATGAGATTAAGCCACAACTTGAGGAAGAACTCATCGCAGCTGACCATGGAGAATCTTTGGTTGTGCGTCGAAGTCCTCATGATACCATAACCAAGGATGAAGATTGGCTCCGACATAACATCTTTCACACCAGATGTACTTCTCGGGAGAAAGTTTGCAACGTCATCATTGACAGTGGAAGTAGTGAGAATGTTGTGTCTAGTTATATGGTTGAGAAGCTAGGACTGCCAGTCAAAGATCTTTCCCATCCATACAAGTTACAATGGCTACGAAAGGGAAACGAGGTAAAAGTAACCAAACGTTGCCTTGTCTCTTTTTCTATTGGTAACAGGTACCAAGACGAAGTATGGTGTGATGTTATCCCCATGGATGCTTGTCACTTTTTACTTGGTCGCCCTTGGCAATTTGACCGAAAGGCTATCCATGACGGCCATGCCAACACCTACTCGTTTGTGAAAGATGGTGTGAAGGTCAAGCTCACTCCCGTGAAGCCTGAAGAAACACTCGAAAAGAAGGATGCGAACAAGGCCTTAATCTCTAGATTAACCTTTCAGAAGTTGCATCAAGAATTGAGGATAGCTTGTCTCTTGCTATTATCTAAAGTGAATAATGCCACTTCCCCTTTTCCAGAGGAAATTCGATCTCTCCTTGAAGAATTTTCCAATGTTGTTCCTGATGAGACCCCTCATGGATTACCGTGAACTCAACGAAGCAAGGATTCTAACATGGTTGTGCCTACAAAACCAGACTTCCAGGTGACTATGGAGTCTCTGCTACTTTTAATGTTGTTGACTTATCTCCTTACTATGAGGATCATGGGCATTGAACTCAAACTCGAGGACGAGTTTTCTCCAACCAGGGGAGAATGCACCAGGAAAAAACAACAAGCATGCAGAAGCTACTCTGCAGCACCACTAGGCCAGTGCAACTTTGTCAACATGGCCACAAGTCAACAAAAATGGCCACTAAATTCCACAAAGATGGCTAACTCCCAGTTGCATTTTCACTTTTCATTCATTGCCTTTGTTAGATTTTGCCTATAAATAGCCATGTTCTCACCATTGTAGGTATCAAGTTTTACTCAAATTTCAGTTTATATTTCTCCTCTTTTGAGTGAGTTTTTTTGGGAGTGGATTCTTTCAATTTATCTCTGTATCTTAAGTCTTGCCAACCTAAGTGGTGAACCTGGCAATCGAATTCATCGTAGTGGGATTCTAAATCTCGCCAAAATCGGTGTTTCGGTATCGGCTCCTACGCCATACTTATTCATGTTTGTTTCAACGCCAGCGGTTCTCCACTTGAACCCCCTGGTTTGTTGCATTTATGCTTTAAATGCTTTGGTTTTTCTTATTTTAATTGGTACCATTTGTCTTTCTTGGTTACATGGTTGATTGGGTGATGGCTGATATAAGAAACAAAACTTGGTTGGCTGGTGGATTTGCACGTGGTATAAAGGCTTTCCCAAGCATTGGGCGTGTGAGAGTGAAGCACAGAAGGATCCTTCTTACACTTAAGGGCACTGTAATTTGTTCTAGAGCAGTGAAGATGTATGAAGGGGAGAGGACATACATTTGCAAGAAATGCAAGCACATGTAGGTTTCTCACATGTTTCCTTTACCAAGCACATAGATGTATATGAGTGTGTGTCCAAACATGAACATTTTCCCTCTATAGTAAACCAGTACCCTGAAGTAAATATTGTCACTACACATGGCCCAATTGAATATCCTGCTGGCTTAAGTTGTTCATTATACAACTGTGGTTAGAAATAGGGCACGTGTAGTTTCTCCTTGTCTGTTGTGCCAAAAGGAACATCACATATTGGACTGTTAATGAATGCAACTATTTTTGAAGGGATTGGATCCAGAGGCATTTTAACAAAATGTCTCCTCAAACTGCTGGCCTTGGCCTTAATA